AGCTGCGGTCAAAGGGAAGAGGTGGTTTAGAAGGGAGCGTGTGTTTGTGAAAAATCTGATTCTGTTTAGGATTAATTGATAGTAGATTTATTGCAAAAATTAAGGAGAAAAGATCTTAATTAAAACATTCCATGTTTGACATGTTGACATCGAAAAATTAAACATTAGGTATATGTGCAATTATTTTGTGATTTGCATTTAAATAAAATAAAAAAACTAACTGGTGTTAAATATGCAATATAATTATTATATGAAGGTATAGAGTGTAAATTCCTCAAAACTAAATAAGCTATAAAGCTTATTTGAAACCATGATTCGGTACCGAGCTGGTATAAATCGAATCAAATGAAACAAACAAGTTTAAGTTCCGCTCCAGGCTTCTAATTATATGGCCCAATTCTTTTTAAATCCCTCTGAACAATATATTGAAGAAATAATTAGTTGGGCCTTAAAAAGGTCCATTTATTTATTGTCACGCAGGTTCAGTATAGGGAGGCCCATTTGTCTGGTACAGAAGTTAGCTGGAAAATCTGATAAAAAATCATTAGCCGATTGATAAATGATGCACACACATTGTTTCTCTTTTAGAAATGAATTGAATAAAATCGATAAAACTTTTTTCTTATTTTCTCAATTAATTTTTGTAAGCGTTATATTTTATTAATAAAAAAATACCAAGAGTAGCAAACAATAAATAACAATTTTAATCGACTCCAAAAAGTTACATGGCTAGAGTTATTAAACGAAATGCGTTATTCGTGAGTTCGAATCGAGTCGACTCGTTTAGGGTTGTTTGATATATAAAAAATTTCTAAATAATTTCTTACAATTTCATTATAATTTAGCTCGTTAAGACACGTTATGAGCCATGCTTCGTTTAGGGTTGTTTGATATATAAAAAATTTCTAAATAATTTCTTACAATTTCATTATAATTTAGCTCGTTAAGACACGTTATGAGCCATGCTCGAATTCCATGTCGACTCATTAACTTAACGAACCAAGCTTGATTCGACTCAATATGGGCTCAAACCCTAACTAGAATATCGAATGCTTGAGCTATTTAAAAGTTCACAATTTTCAAGGCTATAAACCGTCACATCAAAACTGTATAAGACAAAAATTGCAAACTCACAACAAATTACATATACTAATTAAACCATATTATTTTGCTTATTATGAAGGAAATAAACAGTAGCGGCAGATATTTCCAACAAGTATATGTTATTCGAGTTGAGCCGAGTTGAGTAGCTCCCTTTCGAATTAAAACTTATTCATCAAACGAGTTGGCTCGATTCGTTTAAACTTGTAAAAGTTCGACTCAACTTGTTTTATAAATCTAAAACCTAAATCGAGTAGTTCATAGACAAATTCAGTTTAGCTGTTTCATTTAAAATACATAAGTAAATAATAACAAATAAAAACAGGTGGTATGGGAACAAACTCGGCTTGGCTCATTTAATAAACAAGTTCGATTAACTATTCAAGCTCAACTGTTTGTATGAGCCGAATCGAGTTTCGTTCGCAAACCGCTCGATCTGTTTAGCACTCGACTACTAAATAATATTTAATAAATGATCTTCTGGAAGCCTGTAAATGTGTGATTGGATATGGATTCATTCAAAAAAATCAATCATTTTCAACTCAAAACATTTTTTTTTAATTCAACTTCATTATCTTCAGTATTATCAATATAATTACATAATAACAACTAATCATCCTTACACGTCATCTACTTTAATTCACTCACATAATTTAACTAAACTTCACTTAACATTATATCTTTTTTCTCATTCACATCAAATCAACTTTAATTATTTTATTTAAACACTACGTATTAATTAACTATAGTTAACAATAAAATCAATGAAAATCAAATCAAATCCATATACAATCACACCTTCAACAAATCAAGGGTGCCTCCAATTTCGGCTGATCTTTTTGTCAAAAGTCAAAACAGATGCAAATTTTCGAAATTTATAAATTGAACGAAAGAATAATGGGAAAGTCTATAGTGCATGTGGATTTGGGGATTCGAATCTCATTAATCTTAATTAAATTAAAAGGAATCTTAGCAAACTTTGGGCTCAGCCAAAGCCACACACTTGACAACATATAAAAGGGATCTAACTCCAAAAGGCAATTCAAATCAGATACCATAGGCCTCGAAATTCTAAATTAAAGAAAAATGCACGTATTATGTGAAATGGATGTAGATTTTTGATACTGTTTTTTAGATTAAATTACATTTTAATGATGTTTTAACATTGACTTATATCCATATCAATGTGTATCATATTCTAACAATTAGTACATCTCTACTAACACAATTTCAAAGTAGGTTTTGTATTGGATTTCACAATATTTCATACCAAAAGTAAAAGATTTAATTTTATTCTTCAATAAAAAATCTCATCATGACACATTCAATTCAATGGTCTCATAATCGAATATTTTTTCCTTAAAAGCTACTATTTCACAAAATCATCTACTTTCATAGTCTTTTGAACAACCTATTTTTGAAATCTTGGACTAAAGGTTTGATTCGTAAACACAAACTCGACTTTACCATATCAACAAAGATTCTCTTAAAATTTCTCTTATTATAGTGTCATTATTCTATATTTCTATGAAGCAACTTCTGGCCGTTCGAAGGAGTCATGTAGATTGAGACTTTTATTCATGTCTTTAGATTTTTTAAAATAATAAAACATTAAACTAATTTAAGCTATAAATATTAATTTTAAAACTCAATAAATTTTTTAATATTATCAATTTTTTTATATATAATATTTTAAACTAATTATTTCTTCACATATTGTATTCGACATTTGCATATAACATAAAATAAAAAATTTCTATCCGCCTTTATAAATAAAAAATAAAAAATTTCTATCCGCCTTTATAAATAAAAAATAAATTTATGATCTGTTCTAGTTAGAAAATATTAAAATAATTATTCATCAATAATAAAAATTTTATCTAACAAGAGATTATATGATATAATTTACACTTATTATAATAAAGACGAACGAGCGTAATAGGTGACATGTATAATTTTATATAAAAAATATTAGTACGAATCTTAAAGAAATACTAGTAAAATTTAAACTATGTATCTAAATTAGCATGGAGACCAAACAAAACAACCCTTTTAATAATGAAGCCCGAGCTAGCTATTTTAGTTTGATCTCTAAACAAGTTTCAACTTTTAATGCATGCGAAGAAATTAGTAAAAAATCTATTTAAATTTGTTAAATAATATTAATATATCGAATCTTTGTTTTACGTTCTGATCCTATTCACGGGCACGAATATACCTACCCACATATATATTAATATAGAGAAAAGATAACATATAAAATGTGTCCAAATTCAAAGATAAGAAAGACCTAAGCTAAGTACATGTGCTTTCTTGTGATCTTTTTGTATGTTTAGGTAAATATAAGTTCTAATTAAAAGGGTAGGGTGTAAATAAAAACAAATATTGATGTTGTTTTTTATATGTTATTATCTTTATGGTATTGTTGTTTCGAAAAATAATTTTTAATTGTAAATAATAATAAACACGATATAAATAGCACTAAAGCTATATTAAAGATTGTGTTTTCACAATTATCACAATAAGCATTGGTTTTTATTTCAACCACATCCATAATTAAAATATAACATCTTTAAATAACACTTTAAATTTATGATTATTGTATAATTTGGTGCTTTTCCATTATAAATTTATTTAGGTAAGAAATAGTATTTTATAATACCTATCTCCACTCACTTTCTAAATTATTTACCATGATTCTATTATGTAGTGTTCATATAAAACTATATATTATCACTGATATTTTCTGTTCTATTAACTAGAGACACTCCAAAAAACATTAAATTAACACTTAACTTTTGATTTCACATTAAACAGGTCAGCATGAATTATGTCATGCTATTTAGTATTTATTTATTAATAAAAGCATACTATAATACTTATCCAAAGAAGAAGAGGTCATATGTTTAAATTTCAACTTGTAATGTTAATTAATACTTACAAATTATAACAGAAGACACTTTTTGTTCAAACTAAATCTTGGTCCAATAATTTAAATTGTTCACATTTAGTTACAAATTAAGCCACCTGTATCTTATACAAATTAAAGCGAAGCCAAACGAGGAATAAAAAATTATTAATTTAATACTTATATAGTGTTCCAGTTATATACATTGACTAAAGTCATGTGCAATTTATGATTTATCAATTATATATAAAAAAATTTCATGAGATTTACACGAGGCCAAATAAAGAAAAATCATGGTACTATAGTTTTCTAGATGTAAATTTGATACTTGTATTGTTTCAATAATAGCTAAATACCTTCTTAACATTATTTTGAACTTGATCACCAAAATAAGAAAAGACTAGAGCTAGTCTGCAAATTTTATTGCAAACTAGTCAATATTTATAACTTGATTTATCACAAAAATGCTTGTGTGAGCAATCTAATTGTTAGGAGGTGCTGATTCATCATACAATATTATAACGAAAAATACATACTTATATTATGAAATGTCATACTTTTATTTATATTATTTTTTAGAATATGACATTTAACTTGAAAGCATGCATTTTTGTTTGAAAAATTATGCGAGTAGCCTTACCGAATTTTCATATTGCTACAAGCCTGCAAAATAGTATAGTGATACTTTTATTACAATTTATTTAATGAAAAAGTTTTTCATGTAATAGAAAAAGAAATAGGGACACGATTTTTTCAACACAAGTACTTGAAAGTTTGTCAAAAAGGAATCAAAGACTATTATCACTTAAGCTCCTTCCCCTCCTTTTTTTCTCCCCAACTTTTAAGATCCCTTTCATTTCATGTTAACTTTTTTTATCTCCAAGTATTTCACTTTTGACAATGTATAACCAGACATGTTTCAAACAGTAATGATATGTTTTTTCAAGACAAAACTTTTTGTTTAAATATTCCACTGTAATAATCTCATTAGCTACAAACAATGCTTTTGTCTATTCAGGCATGAGAATTACACTTCAACCTTGGCTAGATTTGTTGAATAAAGCTCCACAAAATCACTACTTTGCTGGGAGTAGTCCATCGAGCATTCGCCAGTGCTATTCAGATTCAAGATTCGTATTACACGGGCTCGATTTTTCCATGGATAGAATGTTTGGGTTGCAGAAAATCGAGTCGATGAGGAAGATGATGCTAATGCAAGAACAAATTTTTCAACAGCAGGTAATGTTAGATTTTGGTCCTATTAAATTATGAAAGTAGCAATTTAAGTCATACTGGAGTGACATATAATATTCTACTTCATGTAATTTAGAATTTTGGTGCAATTTCAGTCCTTTGGCCATCAAAATTCTCGATTTATATATTTAGAATGAATTTTGATTAGCATTTCAAGTCATGTAATTTAAAATTGTATTGCAATTACAGTCATTTTTTACTAGCAAAATTGAAAATTGTAACAATCAAAATTGTAGCAAAATATTAAATTACAGGATTTAATTTTCTACTCCAATGAAATCTAAATTGCTAGCTTCATAATCTTAGGACCGAAAATTGCATTTTAGCCTTATAGTTTTTAATGAGTACAACCTGCAAGCTGCAACATGATTTTTTTTTTTTTTCTTTTTTTTTTTNCCCTGCTAGCTAGAAGTGTACTATAAAGTATAATAAACATTAAGCTGCAATAAAACAACACATCAATCAATCATTATGTTTTCTGTTGAACAAAATAAGGATTTAGCTGAGTTCCATTGTAACGATTTTCAGGTTCACGAGCTTCACCGGCTGTACAATCTTCAAAAGAAAGTAATGCAAGAACTCGAAATAAACGGACTCGTGAAAAAACGCAAGGAGAACTTGTTCTCCTCCAGCTGGCACGAAACAAGCTACGTACATATCTCCCAAAACCAAAATGACCTGAAAGCGACTAACGAGGAAAATGATTTGGAGGTCGAATTAACACTAGGCATCGGGCAATGCACTAGGAGGAACAGAGGTTTGATAAACGAGACTAATAAGTCGAACACTGGGTCTTGTTCAAGAAGAATGAATAATGGAGATTCTGGGTTGTCTATGAATAACAGTAGCTCGAGTAGTTATAATGCCTATCAAGAAAAGAATACACGGCCACATTGGCTTATTCGGGATTTAAGCTCAAATAGAACATGATCATTTTTCGAAAAATCGCAGCCTAGTTGAGGTTTTAGACATTAGGTTCTGGCTGATCATATTCATATACATGAGCTAACACAGTCCACAGGTGATTTTGGCTAAAGTAGCATTCTGAAAATTCCAGATTTTAGCAACTTACTGAAATTGAAGCTGAAATCTTGTGGCATTGTTTTTTTTTTTTTCTTTTTTTCAGCTGAAGTAATTTTTCCCACACCGTGTTAGCAAACATTACAACATTTTCACATGAATAAAGAAAATGCCAAAGTGATCCTGGAAATTTATCAATTGAGCCTGAGCAAATTCTCAACACCTCATCTTTTTAAATAATCTTGATTTTACTAGTATAACAAAATTATATTTCAATTTTATTTATCAAATAAGTCGTATATAATTCAGAGCATACGATTTATGAAGGCATACAAACATAATAAGATCATACTGGTTGGTATATCACAAGGCACTGCTTTCTTGGTTAGGCTGCAGTTTTGATAACACACTGTTAGCATTCCCCACCAAAGCAAAATAAACAGTTAACTCGACAAAGTAATGCCGATACAACTCAGAAAGAAAGATTATTGTATTTTCTTAAACGACAAAAACAATAAAAAGTCTTGACAGGATGTTGATAGCTTTCGCCTTTTTTTACCCTTTCCCCCATACAATCACTCGATCACCTGAACCCACGAAAATTACGAAACCGTTTCTCATTATTCACCTTGTAGTAAATACTGTATTTGTTATTTGAAAAATATAATTGAACAAAATANCATCCCCAAAGTCAGCCAGTGCTTTTGCCTTCTTATCCCAGGGATTCCACAGGACTTGAAAGGATAAAATGTAAAAAAAAAAAAATTAAAAAAAAAAAAAATAAATAAAATAAAATAAAAATGTCATGGAGAATATTGCAACCTTGAAGTAGATATTAGAATTTAGAACACCAAAGAACAAAAAACGGATAAAATCTTTACCGGCATCAGGGAGACCATCTTTGCGAATGACAAATGTTCGTTTCTTTTCGTGGTCCAGAATTGCAATCTTTGTAGGTGTGCTAAGATATATCTTGTCCACCTGATAGAAGAATATCAGTTAATATAGAGAAGAGAACATAACAGAAGAGAATAGATCTTCTGGGCTTACTTCAGATTCAAAAGTGATTGCATCCCCTTGTTCAGTAAACCGCTGCTTGCCCTGCAGATTATCAAGATAATCCAAAGTCTCTAATCCTTCAACACGCACTTCACTGAAAAAGGAAAAGTATCATTAGGATAAAGTGAGCAAGTCAATGGAGATGTATATCCAGTACCAGCAAAATTCTATTTTTGAGTTATTGACCAATGGTGGAAGATCTTTTAAATAAACCTTGGTTAATTAGAGTTAGTGATATTAAAACAGTAAATTGTTGTAACATGGGAAAAACAATGACATTATCCGTATAAAAAATCTAGATTATAGAATTCTGAGGGAAAAAAATGGACCTCCAATTTAGAACAAAGCTGATAGAGCTCTGGTGGATAACAACATATTAAAGTCATTAAACACAAGCATTGGAAAGATCGACAGGTATTTAAACGAACTCAATTTTTCTGTTAATTCGTAACAGAAAGATATTAATCTATTCTAGCATGCATGACAAAATTAATAGTTTATTAATTATGTATTTGACAATTTCCATATCATAAAAATAAAAACAAGTTCAGCAATAAGATATGGTTACTCAACAACCATCTGTTAATGGTGGTGAACAAAAGTTTCACACTATAAATGCATATGAAAACCACAGAGCTCTTACTTCTCAAATAACATGAAGATATCATATCTAATGAGTTAAAATTAAAGGGTGTTTCCTCAGAATGCTACTAAGTGCCAACAACTAATAAATCCATCAGACACCTATACAAAAGAGACCAACACAAGCAATATCTTTTGGCATAAGCACCTATAGCAAGAAATTTGATTAAATACATAGTTCAAGAGATTCCCCATCAAGAAGGCATTACTTCCCAATATTTCACCACATGTGACTAAGAAGAACTAACTAAATTTCACATAGTTCATTGTGGTAATTAATTAATTATAGCAACTTAATTGTGAGAGTCAGGCAAGTGTAAGCATGCAAAGGTCTGAGTACTGGACAAGCACAATGAACGCAGAAGATCTATCAGCCAATAATATATATCATCAACAATACACAAACCAGTCACACAAATCTTTCAAATACCTGATATCAGAAACAGAAAAGTATGTATGATACGCAAAGGTGAAACTAAAAGGCTTTCCATCAGTGTTCGTGTTTCTGATACGCGAAGTCAACATCAGATCTCCAGAAGGTCCCAAAGTTACTCGGAGGCGGAACTCGAAGCTGAACAAGAAACAAGTACAAAAATTAAAAGCACATGTATTCAACAGTATGTTCCCACCAATTCAAAGTCCTCAATATTCTGTACCTATGAGGCCAAATCTTCATATCCTCTTCAGTAGGCTTCAGAATTAAGTCCACATATGTCTTATTGGGAGAAGTGGTCGGAAAAGGAGGTGGAGAAGGGTCAATGGCCCAGATCCTGTTTCTAGCAAATCCATGAGCCTCGAGAGGCCCAAGACTCCCAAACTGAAAATATAGAGCAGAACTTCCTTTAGGTCAGCAAAAGGGTGGAAAAGGTGGAAAGAACGAAACAAACAACATATACCTGTGGGAAACAAATAGGTATGCCTCCACGGATTGCCTTCGGAGGTTTGAAAATGGCCTGAAAATAAAAGAAAAGAAAAATCAGCCAAGCAATTCATGTAGAAATCATCGAAAAGGTACTGGTCACAAATAAGAGTAGCCAATCTTTTTCAATGAAGTGTTAGAAACGTAAGAGAAAGAGAGCTGCACATTTCTGGTTTACCAATAAAAGAACAAATAAAAGGAAGCACCAAGTAAGGAAGAGAGAGTGAAAAGAGCTGTACATATAGCAGATAGAGAACTGGTAATCCTATAACTATGCACTAGAAAGAGTTATACAAGGTTAATCTAACACTGCCCACTTATACTGGAGTTAGCTTATGAACTTTAACAAGTATTCAGTCGAATGAGTCTTACTGAAACATAAACCGAAGAAATTCCAAATGAACAACTTTCTGCTTTACAAACCAACAATCTCATTTAAGCCATCAAAACAAAATCCAGCTAAGCACCAGTCTAGAAAATATAAAAATATGTTAATTTCAAGCAGTAACTCTTCTCTTCACTTATAGTATCGTAA